GTCCTCATTCTGGTTCTGAATGCAGTGCGACAATGAAGAGGAGCGAGGCAGAGGGAGGAAGATTGCCTCGCTATTCAGGCAGCCACTGACGCTACACAAGCTCAAGGATAGCAGATTCAACTCTGAGAATAGAAGTGTCAGGCAACAAATCCAACATATAATGTGCAAAAAATAAATTTAAAACACAAATAGAGAAAAAAAATCACTTCAGGAAAATCATATCAAAAAGTGAAAACTTTAAATATGATGCTAGACAACATGATAAATGGTTTGCTATATTTTTAAATGTGCATATTTACAGGTTTTAAAGTTATATTGTTGTTGTATGTTTTGCACAAGACACTCGGCAGCCAAAAGGTGTAAAATATGTTAATGAAATTTAAAATTTACTCATTCTTGATGGCTTTTTAGCCACTTTTACCTTTATTTTTGTGCAAATTTATTCCAACTGGAATCTTGAAAACTCTGAGAGCTTGGGTGGCAATGAAAAGCATTTGCAACACCTGCAATTCAAAACTGCAAGGAGTGGGTGAACAACGGTGAATCAAGTTAAAATGTTCTCACTCCTTCAAGCCATTTTTATATTTAGTGGTGCAACGTGAATCATCTGATGCTAAGTACTCATGTTTACATGTAACTGCAAGCCAGTTTGATTAATAAAAAGTAATTTTAGATGTTGATTTGTGACATTGTGTAAGTGTTCAAACATCATATTCTTTGGGGTTCTCTTCTGCAGGTTTTGGTGGACAAATCTGCATATTTCCTGACAGGAAATAGCTTCTCTGGCTTGTTCATGGATCACACAACAGCTGCTGTATGATATTTCACAGATTTCAGCTCATCTCTGCACCAAACCAGGACAGTGTGAGAAAAAAAAGTGTGAAATATTTATGAATATATATACAGCTGAAGTCAACAAAAGGAATTTTAGACCAAACACTTTAGGGGAAAGCTTGCTGATCAGTCCAGCATGCCCCCCCCCCCCCCCCAACACACACACAAAGCCAGGTTTAGTGGTTCTGTTTCTGTAAATGGATGTGCTTCTGATTAGCATAGAGTAAATGACATTTTCTGTAGGTGCTTTCCAAATAGATCTTTATGGAAAATTCATTTCTCCGGGTTCTTGTGTTTGCTGTGACATTAGAAGAGTTTTGTCTAGTTGTGAAAACATAAGCCTGGGTGACGTTCGTCATGTCTATTGTGCTACATTTATATCATATTGGAGTCACTTTAAATAAGTTTTCTACTGAAGCAAGCATTCATGCCAACATTTAAAACTTAAAAACCCCCCTCTGAGAGAAGATTTCTTTCAAAGATATAATGACTATGAAGCAGGACAAACATGGATGACTCATGTCAGCCAAATGTATTTTATTCAAAGTATTAAATAAATAAACTAAGTCACTAAGGCAATAAACCATTTCTAAATTCTTAGCCAAATAACTCAATGAATAAATCAGATATTTTATAGTGGGGTTTAGCAGAAACTTTCAATTCAATTCAGTTTATTTATAAAGTGCCAAGTCACAACAGAAGTCGTCTCAGGGCACTGAACAGAAACATTCATATATAAAATAAGAGGGATGAGCTCTCCTACTAGACTCTGGCAGCAGCATTTTGGATTAATTGAAGACTTTTTAAAGAAGTGTTTGGACACCCAGATAACAAACCATTGCAATAGTCCAGTCTAGATGTGACAAATACATGAACCAGTTTTTCTGCATCATTTTTAGAAAATATGTTTCTAATTTTAGTGAAATTACGCAGTGGAAGAAGGCTATAGTAACATTTTTAATGTGGGGGATAAAACACATGTCCTGATCAAAAATAAAACCAAGATTTTTAACAATGGAGCTTGAGGCCAAATTAATGCCATCCAAGGAGGACGAAAGACTGAAAAATGTATTCCTAAGGTGCTCAGGTCCAAAAACTAAAACCTCAGTCTTATCTGTGTTCAAAAGCAGAAAATTTAGGGTCATCCAGGTTTTTATTACTTTAAGACATGTTTGTAGTCTAAGTGACTGATTGGATTTATTGGGTTTCATGGACAAATATAATTGTGTATAATCAGCATAACAATGAAAATGTACCCCATGCTGTTTAATAACATTACCTAATAGAATCATACACAAGGTAAAGACTATTGGTCCAAGCACTGAACCTTGAGGAACCCCATGACTAACTTTGGTGTATGATGAAGATTCATTATTTACAACAAAGTCCATGCTCAATAATCCAGGTATACAATCCAACATTTTTCAGTCAGGTCATCTGGACAGTTTCTTTTTTTTTGTGCTGAAACGTTTCACCTTCGATCCGGACGGCTTCATCAGTCAAGGAAACACACAACAAAACTGATTCTTCCCCCAACAGCTTACTCCAAAGTGGAACAAAACAGTTTTGTTTGTGATAAGATGTATTTTAAATACAGTAAAAACTTTAACTCTGTTTCTTTAAACTACGACCATCCTATTAACCATCTACATGGCTGGATGCATCAAACTTTCTCCTGGGATTAATAAAGTATCTATAATAAAGTATCTATCTATCTATCTATCTATCTATCTATCTATCTATCTATCTATCTATCTATCTATCTATCTATCTATCTATCTATCTATCTATCTATCTATCTATCTATCTATCTATCTATCTGTCTGTCTGTCTGTCTGTCTGTCTGT